CAGGACCTCGTGCGCCAACTCTGACGTGCGGCTGTGATTTATAAAGGAAAGATGCGCAGAAACTTACGTACGTACAGTTTTATAAATCTGAATTTTTTTGGGCGTACGCCATTTCCGCCTTTTGGCCGTACATTCACTTTTAGTGTGGTTTCCACGCAATCCTTTATAAATGAGACCCCTGGAGTGTCAAACCTTTCAGTGATGTGGGGAGAGGGTAGAAAAACATCTGACCCTTCAAACAAAGATGGTTCAGGGGTACACTTCAAAACAAACACCAATATATTCTCTATTAAAAGTGTTTTATAGTATCAACAACCTTTGTAACGTCTAATATGGAGTGCAAAAGAGTCAAATGGTTCAACAATCAGGATGAAGCTTTTACCAAACATACAAAATAAAATGAGTATATGACACTCACCAGCCAGAACCCAGGCCCCAGATCCTCTCTGTGTATGCCCACTGTAGAAAATCAAATAAGTGTCGTGACGAGGCCCATCTGCGGTCCGGAGCTCCAGAAAGTTTCGCAGCTTGTTCTGCAGGGCCTCCATGGTCACGCCGCTGGTGGAGTAGTCGCACCCGAACGTCTGGATCATGTGGTGGGAAAAGAGGCGCTGCATGTTGTTCAGCATCCCCGTGGAGCGGAGGTTTAACTCCTGCACGTGGTCCGGTGGCAGGAGAGTGGGCTGACCGCTGGCACTGGGCAAAGACAAAAGAAACGCTGAAATAACTCCGCGCTCCTACAGTTCCGACCATTGAGGTGTTCTTTTGAAGTTTCTAATAGAAACCTTGCATCGCTGATCGACCAGTTTTACTTCCCAAAAATATTAGCATCTAGCCGGGCGGTGCACACGCAGTCAGGTCAGTTTCCCACAACCAGAACAACATGATCAGTCTTATTTGGATTACAAATTTATTTTGATGGAGCTRAAGTGAATCAGAATATTCCGATTGAGGTGTTTACACATCGACGCATTTTTACTCCGATTGGCCGTTTATTCCGATTCCTGATGTCCATGTAACCGTGGCTAGTGTGTCCACTGGAGTGGAAGCTTGAGATTTGGACCACAACTTCTTCTGTTACACCATTTCTATTATATTTATTTATCTGTTTTTCCACCGCTCTGATCCCCCTGAGGGGGGACGTTGTCACAGTGAAAAGACAATCTGAAGCCGTCAAACAGGCGACCGTTCATTCATGTATTCTCATGCTGTCAGTTTTTCCACAAACGCAGACATGCACACTAGGGGTATAAGAAAATATCGACACTGAAATATCGGGATATTTCATTTCCGGATACTGCATCGATATTCTAAAGCCCTGTATTGATTTTTTATTAAGGTTTAAAATGTCAA